TGCACTCTGGTAAGAGGACTACAGCTCCTGGCGAGAAGAGCACCCACAAGAGACCGGGTCAGGTAAGTTAATCTCACTTTCCATAAACCCTGGCCAACAGACCACCAGGGGCGATGCCACCGTCAGGGGTCTTTGCAAATTATGCAAAGTCCTTAGACAGTGACAGGGATTCTTTAGGTGGTTCAAATGTCAACTACTAAGTTACTAATGGCTGCAGATACACCAGAAATTCAAAATAATAGTTTTCAATATATATTTTTTTATCACCCCCAGTAATAGGTTGTAGTTAAGGAACTTAAAGCCACCACAAGTACATTCTGTTATTTTTTTCCATCTTGTGTATAGTCTACTAAAACTAAAATGTGTAAACCATCAGATTGTTAATATGTGTCCAGAAGGCATGGACTGGCTACTGCACTGAAAATGGTCTTGGGCTGATGGACTGTTGTTCAAATAAGAGAATCTCCTCAAATGTCCCAGCAATCATAAATTTAAAGTACCCGACTGGCACTGAATTACATAATTTATTGATGGTTGTGATTTGCAGGATTTAATGAGGTCAACACTACTTTCAGCACTTTGACATTTCATTCTACGCACCCCTAATGACTACAGTCTTAATTTGCCTTGCTTCCTGCACACCTAATTTTCCTCCTCTTGTCCTCTTGCTAATGCAGATGTTAATAGATATCACTACTTCAGCATTAATGACATAAATTTTACGTCCGTATTTGGACAGAAATCATCAGCTTTGAGTGTCAGTTGAAAATCTTAATCAATGAACTCCATCCAAATAAGGACACAATTGAGTGCAGTAGAGGAATTTCTGTTTGTGATGTATTGGAAATGGAGGCTGGACTTGACTAACCCCGGGACCCAAGTAAGTGGCAAACCATTTGAAAGTGGTGACTATTTACCATGAGACGGCGCCAGGGCAACATAACCATTACATCCAGCTTAAAAGCATCAAAGATCTCCCTCACCGGTCAGCCAGTTCTCCTTTCGTGAGGTCAGGCAAGCCAGGGGCCTGCAGCCATTGTCACGGATTTCCACATGAATGCTTTGATACAATATCCCAGTGCCAGCCAAAAGGATCTGTATAAACTCACTGGGATGCAGACTGCAAAATCTCCCACCGGACCACCAGGGATCAGATTCCCATCTTCCTGGCCCACGGTAAGTATTAGGGAAGGGGAAACATTTTATTAAACTGCTCTGCAGCCCCTGTCCTTCCACTACAGCCACTAACCCCCCTCCCCCCCACTACAGCCCCTATCCGCACACCACAGCTTTTATCCTTCCACTATATCTTCTATCCTCCCACTGTAGTCCCTACTACTCACACCGAAGCCCCTATTCCCCTACCTACAACCTCTATACCCTCACCAAAGCCCCAATCCCCCACAATAGCCCATATTCCCCACTAGAGATGCTATCCCCCATTATAACCGGTATCCCTGCACCATAACCCCTTTCCTTCCACCACAGCTCCTATCTCCCCACCACAGCCACTATTCCCCCACTACATCCCCTATCACCCCACCACATCCTCTACTGCCCACCACAACCACTACCCCCCACAACAGTACCTTTCATCCCTATACAGCACCTGTCCCACCTTCTACTGCCCCTGTATCTCCACTTCTGTCACTGTACAAACATCACTGCCCTTATCCACCAACCACAGCCCCTATCTCCCCACCACAGCACCTGTGCCTCTACTGTCCTTGTACCCCCACTACTGTCACTATTCACATATCACAGCCTCTATCCCCCACCACAACCCCTAAAGCCACTCCACAACAGCCAATACCCCAATAACAGCACCTGTCCTCCTGCAACAGCCACTATTTACCCCACTAAAGCCTTTATCCACCAACCACAGCCCCTATAGTCCCACCATATCCCTATCCACCAACCAAAGCCCTTAGTCCCCCACTACAACCCCTAAAGCCCCTATGCTCCCATCACAGCCCCTGCCATCCCACCACAGCCACTACTCCCCTATACTACAACCCTATCCCCACCACAGCCCCTACCCCATCACAGCCACTACTCCCCACAACAACACCTGTCACTCCACTACTGCTCCTGTATCCTCACCACTGTCACTATCCACCCATCACAGTCCCTATCCACCATCCACAGCTACTATCCCCACCACTGCACCTACCCATCCACCACATCCACTAGCCACACCACCACAGCCCCTGTCTCACCCAGCACAACCATTGTCACCCCAACACTGCCCCTGACCCCACCACCACTGCTTGTAACCCCTGCTATATCCACTATCTCCCCATTACAGCACCTTTTTCCCTAACCACAGACTATTTTCCCCTTCACACACATAGCAGCAACTGGCTCCTCCAACACACAAGCATCCCTATCATGCCAACATTCACTACAACCTCAATTTCCCCGCACCACAGCCCCATTTTTCTTCCAAACTCACACTATAGCGCCTATAGAGCCACTAACCCAACAACAAACACACAAAGGGGCCTTATCCTTCTAAATGCACACACTACAGCCACTATGCCCCTTAACACACATTACAGTCCTTATCCAAAATAGCTCCTATTTACATGCCTACACACGTACTACACTGCAAAAACCGTATCCAACACAACCTGCAACCACAAAAACAGCACCCCCCCCACATACAACCCTACAAGTAGCTTTCCCCACCTACACAACCCCACAAGCATTACCCTCTCACGCAATACATACAACCCAACAAGTAGCATCCCCAGAAGCAAGCAACCCAACAAGTAGCCTACCCTCACAAATGAAACTCAACAAGCAGCCACCCCACACACGCAACCCCAAAAGCAACATCTCGACAAACCTCGCACTAGTGCATCCAGACGCATACCCCAAACCTTTACATTTGCATATATGTATATGTAACATATATATAGGGGGTGCATTGAGGAAACAGGCCTTGGGGCAGCAAGGAGAGTAAATCTTGCCCAGATCACTGTAGTGCTTGAAGCATTAAAAAATGGCCGTAATCTCTTCTGTGAAGAATGTACAATTGTTTACCACACAGAGATAAAAGTCTTAATAAACTAATCAGAGATAAGTCGAAAGATATCTAGTGATCTGTTCTTTTACTAGTTGTTTGGGACTTTTCACAGCTTAAGAAATCTAAGCTCTAAATCTTTTGAAAAAGGCTTAAGACACTTTAAGGCATAGGATAGATTTGTGTAATGGCTTGCAGTTCTGGCTGCAAGCAATATATATAGCCTAGTTGAGGAGCATATCTCACTGCTCTTACTGAAATGCTTCAATGCACTTAGGAATTTTTTTTTCTTTAAAATATCTGGAACATTTTGACTTTTGTTAGATTCCTACATTCAACAGACTAATTATACATGTGTACATATACATATGTTTCATAAATTTTCCAAGATCTGGGTCCACCACATGACTGGAACTGCCGTGACTTTTTGCAATTAGGATTCCAATATAAATTAAATATTTAGCGAGTATGATTCACCTCGAAAAAGGCTTTCCAGGCTGAAACGTTGGTGATGAATTTGTAACAGAATGTTTTTGTTATCTGAAAGACAAACCCCCGTAGTTTGATTATATGTGTATATATATCAAATGGTTACATTTTAATTATTTTTTTTAATATGAAAAACAGTTTATTTTATTGCTTAATATTATAGATGTGCAGTTGATTCTTGTTTGCTATGGAACTAGAGTGTTGCTAAGTTTTCTAAGCACAATAACCATTGAAGTAGTTATGGTGCCAGGTGTGCCTTGGTGTCCACCGTCAGCTGATCACACTAAGTAAAAGAACTTAACTTGATAGAGCTAACAAAAATGTCATGCTTAGGAACTTCTGGTTCTCCATCATTTGTAGTTAGGCAGATCTTGGTGCCCGGTGCATCCCACATAAAAATTCTAATTATTCAAAAATGGTTTGACTGCTTACAATGCAGGGGTACCAGGACACTTCACACTTATGAGTTATGGTTCTTGGAATGCTCATTTAAGAAATCTCCTTATTGCTGAACTTGAGTTTTTTTTTTTCTCCAACACTGCTACATTAGTTTGAATTTTGCAAAGTAATTGTCAGCTCACACAACTCACCTTTTAGCAAACATGCCTATGTAGAAGCTGCAGACAAAAAAAGTAAAAAAGTTCAAGAATTAAGAACAAAAATATCCAAGCGTGCCTACCCTGGGCAGGTGAAACACACATCATATATAAGACATACACATATTATTGTAATAGGTTATTTTTTTTTTTTTTTTAATTGTTCACTCCTGCAGAGTACTGTGCCTTCCCCTAACCCCAGGAGGCATGGAGGGAGGAAATGAAGACAAAAGGGCAATAATGTAGTACAGTACTGGGATCCTTTAACCTTTTTTATTTTGTGCTTTTTTGTTAATAGATTTTTTTTTAACTAAAACCACGTACTTTATGGGGTATATATTTATATATTAGTCCAAAATCAAGAGCGGCTTTAAGACATATAGATCATATTATTCCTCTTTATTTTTTTACAATTTCTGGGGTTTTTTGGAGGTGGGAGGGTACAACAGAATCCTCTAAATTTGTGCATGGTGTTAGTTAGGTTTATACAAAAAAAGTTCTAAAAAAAGTTACTCTATTATTCCTCTTTTGTCCCCGCTACCCCCCTCATTGCCCCTTGGGGTTAGTAGGAGTAACAATACTCTGCAAGAGCAATCAATTTAACACCACAATGATTTAAAGGAGTGGCACTGACCATTTAGGATTGAACAAGCAGTTCCATGGGCAATTTAAGTTGCTTATTCAGGAGCAAAAAAACAAACAAAACAAAACAAAAAAACAACAACAAAAGCAGCAGAACCCTGACGATCTGAATGTACCAATTTACATTTATTTCATTTCTATGCAAGTACTCTGCCGTCTTTAAACAAAGCAGGAACAACTTTTAGGTAATCCAAGGGACTACCTAGTGCATGGGCAGGCCAAGCACCATAAACATTACATACTGTGGGAAGTTTAATGTATTTCACATGATTTTCATATATTTTTGGATGGTAAATCGGCACTGCTACCCACCCCTCCCCTCAAATGAGTATTTCATCAAATCTTTTCACTGGCATTCCAACCCAGCCAATAGATATACTGAGACAAAGCAGAGACTACTTTGTCTCAGTATTTTTCCTCCACTTGATAACGCTTGATACAAGGCGGAGCTACTTCAGACATCACATGCGGTTGATTCTCCTAAAACATCCTCTCCCATTAGGCTCTGTGTTCCTAGCTAATGTGCCAGCATTCCTTTCCGCATAAATTTCAGATAGTCTTTCATACTGACACTGTTGGCATTATTCCTTTGTTCTAGAATCACTCATGTTTAATTCAGTAAAAAGTCCATTTCAAGTTGGAGAGAGGCCATGGTGCTTGGTGCTAGCATACATGGGGGTGGTGGCATGCTCATCGCTGCATGTAGAGGTGCTGGTTGTGATTGGATGGAGGTGCAGGCATAGTACAAGGTGATAGCATGAACCTGTAGCCAGATGTGGAAGTAGACAGTGAAGCAGAGACCATGGCTGTTGGGGATAAAAGTGATGGAATAGACACTGTGGTTGTTGACCTTCTGAAATTGTTCCTGAAGAAATGTGAAAGACAAGTAATTTTTCTCTAGTCATTTTCTCTCTGTTTCAATATTAATAGATAGTGATCTCATGCACCTATTAACGCACAGTATCTGCCTGTGTGTGGTGCATAAGTTATGGTAGGTGAACTACGGTACTGATGGTAAAGGAGTCTTGCGAAGCTTATGGATAAAAACTGTAGGAAGTACTATTTTTGGAGCATTCTGGGAAGATCTCTGTATTATTTCATGGTTCTATATGAGGATTGTGAGCTCAGCTTGAAGTGGATGAAGTGTGTCTTGTTTCAGTAGCTACAAAGAAAATATGACAAACATCAAGACAAGGAGCCCATGAAAAAAGTAAAAATAAAATAGCGACTGGAAAATATATAGTGTAACGCAGTAAGTGCTTTTCCCATACTTGCAGTATTTTCACTCATTAGAAAATATAAAGGAGAATTATAACTTCAGAGTTATTCCATACATCGAAATGATAATAGCTGCACATAATCTCTGGCAGGCTTTAAAGGCCCATGTGAGGAAATATAAACATAAAACTTACAGAGAGATTCCAAAATAAGATTGATCGCAATTGAAAGAATAAAATACACTCACTCATTTAAAACACTAAAAATAGTGTAAATATCTCATGAATCGTTAAATCACAGCAACCTTCAAGTGAAAGACTCCCACCCAACGCGTTTTAGCTAATGATAAAGATTTTTTTTCAAGGGTATATGTATGTAAACAAGATTTTAGTCTTTATAATACTGTTTTCACTTCTTTTTCCTTCAAACTAAGGTCATTTGCTGTCAGGATTTCCTTTTTGTTTGCCAGTTCGTGCCCTTGATATGGTTCTACATAAAAAGAATACATGGACCTATAGGAAAGGTATGCATGACTGCTGGATATGGTCAAAGAAAATCTGTCACCTACTGCAAGGGTAGTGATGTGCAGCACATCCATCTTGTCCACTCTCCATCTTCCACAGCTTGGTGTTTTGTTGTGGAATTTATTTTCTCTTTTATTGTCATAGCCTGCAGACATTCCTGGCTGGTGCTAAAAGGAGAACGTGGTTATGCAGCCTTTGGTGGACTTTGGGCAGAGCTCAGTGAAATCAGTTACCCATCTACCATGGGTAACATAGGCATAAGTGTCTAGAAAACAAGATGCTATTTGGTTATGGAGCTCAATAAAGTTGTGTCCTATATCCTTACGTTAAAATAAAAAGGTGCGCTGTGTCTTTGAATCTTTAACCCCTTAAGGACCAAGCTTCTGGAATAAAAGGGGATCATGACATGTCACACATGTCATGTGTCCTTAAGCGGTTAAAGTGAAAAATGCAATACTTATTTTGTGCAAAATTGCAATGACTTAATAAAGTGCAATAATTAAAGTGGAATCAATAATGCTTTATATAACACTTCCTTAATATTGGTGCCACACTAGTGTAACGTGCACTGTGCAGAGAAGTGCAGAAAAATGTTTAAAATTTCCGCAACTTACAAAATTATATTTTCTCAAATCATTCAAAGAGGTAACAGATATCCATACATATATATAAGATAAAAAAGGGAAGGAGAAAGAGAAAGTAAATAGTATGATATTGTTTCAACACTGAAAAAAATAAAAATGAGAGATACACACTCACGAGTGTAGAGCAGATGAGTCTGCTCTAACTATAACAACTCCAAACAGTGATCCCAAATGAGATGCAGGCAGATAACTTGAGGCTGATGTAGCTGTAGAACAAATTTTTATTTCACACTTACTTTTAAAAAATATCAACAGGCAAGTAGACCCTCTGCAGGTATCCCTCGATACTTCCGGGAGGTGGGGTTACTCTCCACTTGTGTGCGTTATGACGTTGGTAGAGTAATGACGCTTTTCACCGTAACGACGGCTTCCTTAGTTCGAAAGGAATTAACATATTATTTTATTACAATTACACCTGTCAAGTGGTGGGATATATTGGGCAGCAAGTGAACAGTCAGTTCTTGAATTTCATGTGTTGGAAGCAGGAAAAGTGAGCAAGCGAAAAGATCTGTGTGACTTTAACAAGGGCCAATTGGTGATGGCTAGACAACTGGGTCAGATTATCCCCAATATGGTAAGTCTTGTGGGGGTGTTCTGGCTCGAGCTGATGGGAGTTTCTAGAGTTTGAGACATGACTTCTGTACATATCGCCATATGGCTTGCCTACAGAATTATGAAAAAGTGAAGTGTACAGATCCTTCTATTTTTTTCCACTGAATTGATGCAAAAATCAGCAAACTGATCATTACATCAACAGGTAGTATCTTGAAATCTGTGAATTTATAGAAAACAATAATTAAATCTGCAGCTGTTGGAAATCTCCAACTGACATGATGCTTTGCCAGTCTTGGTGGGGCTAACCTTTATGGGAGTTTTAGTCTGGGCTGCAGCAGATGGACAAATAACAGATGGCAAGCTCCCTTCAGTATCACAAAAAATAGTAGGAGATTGCTAGGCTTTCCACTAATCTCTTCAAAGGAAAATAAAGGGTTGATTTACATAATAATACTGTCAAAATCCAGTGTAAGAATGACAGTGACACACAGATTCTTTTCAATATTTTTTATTACTTTTTTATCTTACTTTTTTCATTTTATTTCGTCACCAAAATGAAAGCTCTGCACAGGAGTGTCTTTAGTGTAAAATTGTGGTTAAGTTTACAGGTGTTTTCAGCTTTTGCAGTTATTGATGCTCCCTGAATCACCCCCTGATCCCCCCCCCCCTTCGGTTAGAAATTATATTTAAATTGTAAAAGGTTAAAATGTATATTTTTATTGGCAAATATAGCTGAATTTGAAATTTTCTTAGAATTTATAAAAAATTCCAAATGATTCTCAATTTAGTGAATAAGTCTATTTCCTATTTAGTTTTTTTTTATTTAAAGAAAGGCATGTCACAGAAAATGTATACAATAACAGGCATACAATATTATTAAACAGACACAAAGTGTACATGCTGAGTTGCATCGTCCATATTTTGAGTGAAAAGACACGGTAGAAGGTTTAACAAAATCGAATTAAGAACCATAAAGATAGTGTATATGCCTTCCCTGACAGTGTGATGACTGTATAACACAACTTACAATGACAATGCTTTGGAACTGCGGTCATGTCCAATTAGGTGTTCCATCACCCCTAGTTTCTTATCTCTGTCATTTTCCCCTTTTTATGGGAGGTGTATCAGTAGGATCTAAATGTCCCCACACTAAGTCAAATTCTCTCAGCGAATTTGTTGCTAGGTGTGAGGGATATTCAATCTGTCTTATTTGTTGTACCAGGGAGGGGACATCTGTCTATGTGGGCACAACTGCGGATATCCAATTGCGGACTATGAAAAGTTTGACAGCTAGTAGTATAATGAAGATTATTTTGATTTGGAAGAGCGTTAATGTCGTAGGATAAAGACTCGATATAGCAGACCCTGGCCTAAATGCCTGTATAATTTGCATGGAATCAGTAATAAACTTAAATGTTTCTGAAGATAGTGGGACCAGTATGGGGCAACCCCACCAAATATGAATATATGATCCTTCCTGCCCATAGCCTCTCCAAAAGGCTTTTGAAGTGCCCGGGTACATGTATGTAAGCCTTAATGGAGTCAAGTGTCATTTTAGCAGTATTTTCCTAACAAGTTCATAATGGTTCATACACCTAGTTAACCCCTTGTTTTTGAGTATCTGTTTCCACTCTAGTTTGAAGATTTCAACTTCTAAGTCTGCCTCCCATTTCCCTTTACAGGCTGGTGGAGTTGAGTGTGACTGCTCTTGTATCATATTATAACAGTTAATGTGTGAATGTTCCTACCTGATTAGCACCATATCTTTATGGATTGTGAAGTGGTGCTTAGTAGGTTCAGGGTATTGGTGGGGGGGGGGGGGACAGCATAGGTTCCATTCTTTTGAGGAAAATTACTGCAGCCTCTACATTGGTCCAGTTCCCATTTTATTTATTTATTTAATATTTTACCAGGTAGGTGTGGTTTGTGATAGTGAAGTTGTTGACGTTTCTGTTTGCGTATATGGGAGGCTTAAATAATGAATTTACCTCTTACCACGGCTTTATGAGCCATCCAAAATTACTCTGGTGTAATGCGGCTTGTTGTTTATGTCAAAATAGTTCCTTATGGACTCTAGAAAGGTGCAAGCTTCTCTGGTTTGCAGTATGGAATCGTTGGTTCTTAATTTTGCATGTGGGCAGGCTTAGTTGTGCTTTGAGCAAAATAGGTCTATGGTCGGACCATGTAATTATTCTGTATGTTAGGGATTCAACATAATTCAGTAGGGATTGTTGGTAAAAAAATTAGTCTGTTTGACAAGATTTCCTGTGCGCATGGGAGAAAAATGACTATTCCTGTGCTAGATGCTGTTCCTACATTAGATGTCTAAATTTGTTACTGCATTTTCTTATTGTTCTGCTTTTTTGAGTTACATTAGGGAAGTCTATATTGGGATTCAACATTAAGTTAAATGTCATATATTGAAGAGAAAACTGATGTTTCGTGTACTATAGCTGATAAAATTAAGATTGGATCCTCATTTGGAAGGTACACATTAACTAATGACACCTCTGTATCTCTTATTAATGTCAAAATGTTGTACTTGCCCCTGGGGTCTGCAATGGCAGAATGCATTGTATATTGTAATGATTTGTGAAAGAGTACCGTGGTACCCTTCTTTTTTAACCCTGTTATGGGAGTGATATTTTGGCTTCTTTCCTCTGGCAAAATGAGTCTCCTGGAGGCATATTATATTAGCCTTCTGTTTAGTGGCCTGATCCCATATCAGTCTCAGTTTGTAGGCCCTTGAAATTGAAAGATAATATTATAAGTGCCTTTGGTCTAAAAAGAAAATACAGCTTTAAGCCAACCTGGTTATGGTACCTCCCATCCCTGCTTCAATCTAGATACATAGTAAACATTAAAAAAAAATTAAGCAGGTCACTGCTCCTTCCTTTTGCTGATCCATACAATTAAAATAAAAT